ATCTAGTGCCTGAAAAAGCAGCGGAATGTGTTCCAGCTGCCAGACATTGGCTGCCGTGTGTCAAAGGAATGTGCGCGTGGATGTACGGTGCCCAGTTGCGTGATGTCCATGCGAGCGAGTATGCATCTACTGCGGTGGCTTGTGGATGAGGAATTTTCGTGCAGAAGCGTGGCAGCTAAGAGTTGCGGGAGTTTGCAAAGAGGTCGATGGAATGGGGACCCCAACGTCGTTCTAAGATGCGGAACCACGGCGTCTTCAACGAGTAGTCGTCATGATCGACTGCTTTTGAGAGCTCATCGGCGTGTGAGTTTAGCTCGCGTGGGATCCATTCGATGATTAGACGCGTGCCGTGCTCCATGCATGTCCGAATGATGCCTTGGCAGGCCGTGGTAAGGTCGGGGCTGCGCGAGCCACCTTTGCGAAGGATGAAGAAGACGCTCTGATTGTCCACCCGCACAAGAACATGTTTGTGCGTGATCTTGCTGGAGTATGTTTGGAGTGCCCAAAGCACTCCTTCGATCTCCCTCCGTGTGCTGGACGTCGCTCGCAGCGGCTCTGGCATTGTTGCATTAGCTTCTTCGAGGCCGCCAGGGAATGTGGTCAAAGTGGCGCCCCAACTGTGAGCGCTAGCATCCACATGGATTACAGCATCGTAGCTGTTTCGAACGTGAAACGGTGCACCGTTGAACCTATCAAACTCTTCGAGCCAGAAGTTAAGCTCCTCGGCCGCGGGTGGGGGGATGATCACGCTGCTTTTCCATGAAGGTGCGTCATTGATCACTTGTAGCATGGCGTGGCTGAAAGCGCGAGCTGTTGCGCCCAGCGCGACGCCCATTGACGCGAGCATGCCTGTGATTCTGGCCACTTGGCGGACTGAGACGGGTCGACATGCCTTGCTTGCGCTCAACAGGTTCCGAATGGTTGCATGTAGTGAGGCTCATCGTTCGGGACCGAAGGTAAATCGACCGGTGGCCGTGTCCAGCTCCACACTCAAGAATCGAAGGTGTTGCGATGGTGACAGGTGTGATTTTTTCGCATTTATCACCAAACCCGCTGCTTTAAGGTCCAGTATTACACGGTGGCATGTGGCCTGCGCGTGGGCTTTTGACTGGCAGAGGAATAAGATGTCGTCCACGTATGGTACTACTCGAATGCTTTGCTCCCGCCAGCGACGGGCTAGCTGCTTGATGAGTTGCGTGAAGACGAATGGGGCGGTCGCCAGACCGAACGGCAATGAACGAAAGGAGTAAGTGCGCCCATCGAATCCAAAACCGAGAAACTTCCAGCATGAGGGATGGATGTCGATGTGATGGTACCCGGATTTGAGATCAATAGAAAACATCCAATCCCCAGCGGGTGCCACGTCTGCAACGCGGCTGAGTCCTTCATATTTGAATTTTGGAACGATGAGGTTTGCGTTGACTTTTCTCAGGTCGAGGATGAGCCTGCATTTTTCTCTCTGCTCGACCACGTTAAGTGGGCTTATGCACGTAAGCTCGCTTGCGGCTGTCTCGACTGCAGCTCCGGTCCCAGTGAGTTCTTGGATGGCAGTACGTGTCAACGTAGCATGCGCGTATGCACTAGCGTAGTTATGCTCCTGGAAGGCCTGTGGTGGACCGTGGCTCCATGGAAGCCAATATCCGTTGGCAATTATGGATAGGACGAGGCTGCAAGGGCACCATGAGCTCCACCACGCAAAGGTCGAGCGAAGCCGACCGCACATCCGGGTGACGGTTTTGTCCGTGACGGCGAATTCGTACGGGCCATCGTCGCGAGGCACCTCGTATTGTTGTGCTCCTGTATGTACGACAAGGAAATGAACGGGACCAATCAAGTTACACGCCTTAATTAGTGAATGCGTGTGACATATACATGCATGCGCAAAAGATGAACCGTCAACAGTGAGAACCATACAGACGGTTTGTCATCATTCCATATAGGGCGTCCGATCGCACCTTTGCAAACTCTTTCCCATACTCTCTCCTGTTCCCTCCCCTCTTTTTTTTTTTTTTTTTTTTTGTTTGTTTCCTTGCTGTAGGATTGATGCTTGGGACCATGATCATGCTTCCCTCTTGATCTCTCTCTCTCCCTCTCTCTCCCTCTCTCTCTCTCTCTCTCTCTCTCTCTCTCTCTCTCTCTCTCTCTCTTTCTCTCTCTCCATCTCTCTCTCTATCTCTCTCTCTCTCTCTCTCTCTCTCTCTCTCTCTCTCTCCCTCTCTTTTTGTGTGTGTTTTCATTATTTTTTTAGCATTTGCATGCTTCGCTTGCCATGGGCTTGTGCCTTTCCGCGCGTGCCTTCACTTGGGCTAGGCGACCTCGCTATGCCCCCCCTCTCTCCCCCCCCCCCCCCCCCCCCCCCCCCCCCCCTTTTTTTTTCTTTTTTTTTTAATTCCTTGCTCCTTCTCGCCCTTTTTGGTTTTCCAAAGGTTGAACTAGAGCTGCCCATCCTTGCGATGCATGGTGGCGGTTTGAGTGAGGAACGTGCGTACTCTCCTTTTCTCCCTCTCCCCTTCTCCTCCTCGCGTTTCGCCCCCACCCTTTTGCTTTTGTTTTTGTTTTTGTTTTTTTTGTCCTTCACAATCTAGAGGGGGCCTTAAATAAAATCCCTATCTCTCATGGTCATACATTGTCATGCCTACTAGCATGCTTCTCATCCCATCAATTGGGGCATACGGGGGACCGAGAGGCATTCTTCCTCTTCCCCAAAGCTAGGCCTACGGCCATACTTTATTACCCTATCCTAGGGGACCGAGAGGCATTCTTCCTCTTCCCCAAAGCTAGGCCTATGGCCAAATTCTACCACCCTATCCTAGGGCTGGCCATGGCCACCGCAAGCCCTACTAGGCTGCCCACGGTCTAAGCACTCAAGAGTGCACCGTGCATCGCGCCTAGTGGCGCGCTTCATCATAGCCCCCGAACCCTACACAACCGGTGCGGGTCGTTGGCCCCCATGCCCATTCCAAGGGCAGGCATTGGCGACGTGGCCTGGCTGGCCGCAGCGGAAACACGAACCACGAAAGCCTTGGAAGTTGCCCGAGGTTGGAGGGCCACGTTTTGGAGCGAACGCCATGGCGCCGTGGTTTCCACCACGGTGGGAGCGAGCATGAGCGCCCGCCGCTCGGTCCATGGCAGCCACATCTGCGACGGCTTGCTTGAACGGCCGCGAGGTGAGAAGACTTTTCTGGAGGTACATTTTGTAGCGCTTGGCCACGCGGTCGTCGGCGGCGTCTTCGACTTGAAACATGTCGAAGCGCGCGGAAATGTCGTCGAGGGCGGCGACGACCATTTCGAGTCCGCCCGCCAAGTCGCCGTGCTGCAGTTTGTACTCTGCGTGTTTCAGGTAAGCCCGCATGTCCTCCAGAATTTCCGCTTTCGCCCGCACGTGCGCGTCGTTGAACGTCGCCGCCAACCAAGTGGTGTTAGTAGTAGAGGGGAGGGGGGGAAGATGCTCCATGGAATTAAAATTTGTGGTATGGACCGGAGCCTCACCATCATCGTCGTCGGAGCCGTCGGTGTCGTTGTCGGCCGCTCGCGCAGGTGGGATGCTGGCCGGTGCTTCCTTGTCGTGCCGGTTTGCCGTTGTTCATCGCGCTCCTTTTTCTCTTGCGTTTTCCTTTTTAGCAGATGCAGAGGCCGCAGGTTGTGCAATTTCCGTAGCTGTAACGCTGGCGGGCTGTTGCTGTAATAGGGAAAGAAGCGCGGTGACCTGGTCCGGGGTCAACGCATTGGTCAACCCCGGGGTCGTCACGTCAGAGGAAGTCGCTGTTCGGCGCCTCTGGCGCTGACGCGACGGTCCAGTCACAGGCGCCGGCGTGTGCTACGCGTCAGGCGCGTGTGGCGCCACATGTGCTGCAGGTGCCGCCTCGCCACTTGCGCCACACGCGCCTCAGGCGCCACAGGCGCCACAGGGGCCGAGGGGTGCTGCTGCTGGGGCGGGCTCGAGTTTTTGTTGACCTCGAGCCCGCCCAACAGCACGTCCACGGCAGTTGGGGCGGGCGATCCTTCCTCTGCCCGCCGCTTGTTACGGCGATCGCCCGTCATTTCTCAGGCGTTACGATCGGTGTCGGAACTCGGCGCAGACGAATTGCTGCGGTGAAGTGCCGGCGTAGATGCCATTGTAGAGCGCTTGTGGTTGAAAATGTCTTGCAGAAGTGTTGAGGGTGACTAGCCTCTGGGAAGAGTGCTTGTTCTAGCCAGCTTGGACGGGGAAAAGAACTACTCGAACGGAAATGTTGATTGAGCCGTTGGAAAACGAGAAACGTGGGTGGAGGGAATGAACTCCAACCCACGGTTTTTGTAGTTGGAGAAGGGCGTTTAGCGCGCTTCGACGCTGCCAAATATTCGGTACAGGCAGCTTCGCTTTCACAATACACAATTTTGAAAAACATCAATGTGTTTAAAAATTATAATCATAATGGTGACAATTAAAGCCCGCAGCTAAAATAGTGACCCCCCCCTTCTAGTTGGGTCCACTTGAAGGTTGGGTGCTGTTCTGTTTTTTTTTTAGTCAAACGCGTTTGATACTTGAAGAGTCTTAAAGCAACAGTATACTTTTGCAAGCGGGGGTTTCAAAAACCTTAGGAACTTGAAAAACTGGTTACGTGATTACAACCCCAACACCCCCTGTTGAGAGGTGAAGGAGTCCCCAAACGCCCCACGTCCGGCTCCCCTCACTCACAGTTCGAAACCTTTGGAATTGCAAGAGGAAACTAAAACTGCGGTAGTGAGAGGATAGCCCACACGCTCCTACTTCGGTAGGTTGTTCCGTGTAGACTAGGCAACATTGTAACATAACAACTACTAGATTTAGGGACAGAATCTGTTACTGAACCGCGTAACGCTGTTTGCGCGCATGCGCGGACAAATCGTCACGCCTACGCACTCGCATAGGCCACACCACCTTAGACAAGGCCGCCCCACGCCTCCTCTCGCTGCCTCACCGCGAGGCCATTAGCGACAGCGCCTCCCCTCCCCACAAAGTCCCGTTTAGCCTCGACGCGCTAGCATCTGCATCCCGTCCCTTCCTCCACTCCTAGCTCGCCGTCCGCCGTTCGCCGCGCGCGATTGGGTACGTCATCCCCCCTTCCCGCCACGCCATCTCCCCTTCCCACCACGCCTTCTCCCCTTCTGGGCACGCCCTTGTTTCCTCCCCTGCACGCCCTCATTCCAGAGCACTGAATTTCCCTTTCCGCAACCTCATTTCCGCCCGAAATCCCCTTTCCGCAACCTCTCGCCTTACCCATTCTTTCGCCTCCCCGTGCGTGCTCCTCTCGCATCCCCTCACTCTCCTCTCGCTTTCCCTGCCCGGCCTCCTCACGCCTCCCCGCGCGCTCGACTCTCACCTCCACACGCGGCCTCCTCTCGCCTCCCCGCGCGTTCTCCTCTCGCCTCCCCACGCGTTCTCCTCTCGCCTCCCCGCGCCTGCTCTTCTCGCCTCCCCGCGCCTGCTCCTCTCGCCTCCCCGCGCGCGCGACTTTCGCCTCCCCGCGCTCTCCTCTCGCCTCCCCGCGCGTGCGACTCCCACCTCCACACATGTCCTCCTCTCGCCTTCCCGCACATGCGCATTTAGCCTGCGTCGTCGGCATCACCCTGCCTCCCCTCGCTGCCTCTCCGCGTCTCGCGGCGGCCTCCTTTCGTGCTGCACTCGAATAAGGCCCTTCTCCTCCTCTCACCACGCCTTCTCCTCCTCTCACCACGCCTTCTCCTCCTCTCACCACGCCTTCTCCTCCTCTCACCACGCCTTCGCCTCCTCTCACCACGCCTTCTCCTCCTCTCACCACGCCTTCTCCTCCTCTCACCACGCCTTCTCCTCCTCTCACCACGCCTTCTCCTCCTCTCACCACGCCTTCTCCTCCTCTCACCACGCCTTCTCCTCTCACCACGCCTTCTCCTCCTCTCACCATGCCTTCTCCTCCTCTCACCACGCCTTCTCCTCCTCCCACCATGCCTTCTCCTCATCCCACCATGCCTCCTCCCCCTCCCGCCGTGTCACCGAAATACTTAATCATCTCGCGAGCCAGCCTTATGACACGTGTTCCCTTTCCAACAGCGAGTTTCTTAGTGGTACCGCTACTCCTCGGTCCCCTTAGTCGCCTTTTATATTGCCTGTGGGAAGGCTTTTCCTAGAAATTAATTGCTTATCCTTCAGTTATGAGTGTCACCCCAGGTGTTGGGTGATGGGAGAGTTCCTCGTGTTCGCAACTAACACCCTCCCAAACTTTCACCGACCCTCTCGCCAAGCCTGTTCGTTTTCGTTGGGGTTTGCTTTTCGTGGGTACTATTCCAAAACCAACAGTACTTTCAAATGTATACTACTGCTTTAACAGATTTTGTCCAACAAAAAGCATCGCAAGGATGTGCACTGCAAATGTGTCGCAAGTTGGCGACACGCAAGCCCATTCACATGCAATGCTAATTTCACAGGTTTGCAATTCACGGACAGCAAAACACTTCAGAAAAAAACATGCTATGGCGGCAAAAACAGCATACGAGAAACAAAAGGAGGGGAAAAACAAAGAGTTTGCAAGGTGAACAGAGTTGAAAGAGACAGGGCGACGGAAACGAGGGCGCGAGGAGAGAGATAAGTGTGCACAAACGCGGAAAGAGGAAGGGTGATGGGAGGGAAGGGAGGAAGGGTGCGGAGAGGCCGTTTCATAGCAAGAGGAAAGGCGATGAGGCGGGAGATGGGAGGAGAGATTGGCTGGGGGACGAGAGGGCGTTTCGGTGCGAGTGCGAAGGCGAATGGGAGAGAGCAAGGGCGACGGGAAGGGAGGGGAGAGAGCAAGGGCGACGGGAAGGGAGGGGAGAGCGCAAGGGCGACGGGAAGGGAGGGGAGAGAGCAAGGGCGACCGGAAGGGAGGGGAGAGCGCAAGGGCGATGGGAAGGGAGGGGAGAGAGCGAGGGCGACGGGAAGGGAGGGGAGAGAGCGAGGGCGACGGGGAGGGATGGATTATGCATCACAAAAAAGGCCCATTTTCAATCGTGGGGAAAGGAGTTGAAGTTGGGCTTCGAAGTTGGGTTTGCGTGGGTGCTGCAATTTTTTGTCGCTCAACCTCCAGCGAAATGCTTCGCTTCCGAATGTTTCCAATTTTTCGCGCCATCCAACCTACTTGCAAAACGGAACGCGCATCGGCTAACCCAAATTGGCCTGATTTTGGTCAATTTTTGGCGTTTGACTTGGCTTGAATTTCAATTTTCATGTAGTCCCGCAAAAGCATTCAATTTGTTGAGCCACATTTGGCACGAGAGCAGCAGGGCGCGCTTCGGGCCCCCAAAATTGGTCCAAAATAGGATTGATTTGGTGCCAACTTTGCTCCTACATTTTTTGCTTTGTAAATTGTTTGTAAACTAAGACTAAATGCTGCAATTAAATATTTTCTAATCACGGTGACACATTCTAACATAAAGAACTAACCTGGACAAAATAACTAATCAGGGAGTGGATGAATCGTACATTTGTGTTGAATTATTAACAACAATAATTATAATCTACAAAAAAAATCAGTAACTTGTTACAAAAATATGCCTACGCATTATGATTATAATATGGTACATGCTTGAATGTAAAAAAAAAAAAAAAAAAAAAAAAACCTTGTTTAGAACAACAAACGGGCATTGATTTGGCACCACGTAATAGCAAAGGCCTATCATTCCACAATTATACATGCTCGCATGTTTGGAATTGCGGAGATTCACTCTACAACGGTAGTGAGCTAGACTATGCGGGTTAGCACGAACTACTAAAGATGATCGTACCTTTGCTTGGTTCCTTAGTGCTTGCACATTCACGAGAGAAATTGGCAAGAGTTTCCACTAGCAAAGTTAGAATTACAGAATGATTGAACAAGTAATGACAACAATGACTACATCAGGCACCTAGCAACCCTGCAGCTAGCCTGGTCGACCGCCAGCACAGCTTGGTCGACCGCCTGCCAGCGTTGCGTAGAGGAGCCGCGCCAGCACTGCGGAAAGGCGACCTGCCAACAGAGCAGGTCGACGGCGTGCCAACGCTGCAGTGGAGCGGCTGTCCAGCGTTGCCCCGTAGAACACAGCAGTGCGCACGCTCGCAGATGCGCGCAGACGAATGGCCCGACCTGCCTCGTTGGGCATCCGTCGGCTGTTGTCTGCGCCTGACAAGCCACATCGACTCCGGGATACCAGCTCGCAGTCGCCTGCGCCATCGCAACCTCAACGACGTTCGCGTGCCTCCGCAGAACTCGTCGAGCAGGTTATCCGGTCGACCCGGTCGACCACCAGGTGCTTCCGGTCGACCACCACTGCTTCTAGTCGACCACCAGGTCCCTCTGGTCGACCACATCTCCCGTCGAGCTACCCCCTGGTCGACGGACCCCTTCCGAGCTCCCCTCATCGACCGCTGCTCACTTGTCAGGTCGACGGACTACTCCGTCGACCTCCCGGTCGAACTGCAGGTCGACGGAGACCTCCCGGTCGAGCTGCAGGTCGACGGAGGCCTCCCGGTCGAACTGCCCCTCCTGGTCGACGGCCCACCCGTCGCCCAGACCAGTCAGTTGCAGCTGTCGAGCTCCCTGGTCGACAGCAGCACCACAGTGGTCCCCTGCAACTCGACGATGCCTGTCAAGCAGCTCTCCCACTGTGAACGGTCGGCTGCTACTCCCGTACATCCGACCAAGTCGTCGGCGTTGCCCAAGCGAGGGCGGGGCCAACACTCCATTCCTGTTAACAGGAATATCATATCTCCCTACCAAACGCGGCGAATGACACGAACCATGTCTAGCACCCTTAGAAGATAGTAAATGCTTGAATGATAGGAAAAAAACCTTGATTAATGTAGCAAACGGTTGTTGATTTGGCACCATAAATAGCAGAGGCCTATCCTTGCACAGTTCTCTTTGCTCGCATGTTTGCAACGTCATATCTCCCTACCAGACGCGGCGAATGACACGAAACCCGTCTGGCACGCTTAGAACATAGTAAATGCTTGAATGGTAGAAAGAAACCATGCTTAAAATAACAAATGGTTGTTGATTTGGCACCATAAAATAGCAGAGGACTATCTTTGCACAGTTCTTCCTACTCGCGTGTATGGAACATCATATCTCCCTCCCAGATGCTGCGAATGAGACCAAACCTGTCCACCACGATTATAATATAATATATGCTTGAGTGATCAAAACAAAGCTTGTTTAAAATATCAAACGGGCGTTGATCTTGCACCACGCAATAGACAGGCCTATCCTTGCACAGTTATCCCTGCTCGCATGTTTGGAATATCATATCTCCCTACCAAACGCGGCGAATGATACCAAAGCTGCCCAGCACCCTTAGATTATAGAAGATGCTTGAATGCCACCGTGTCAGCCTTGTATAAAATAACAAACGGGCGTTAATTTGGCACCACAATATAGCACAGGCCTATCCTTGCATAGTTCTACCTGCTCGCATGTTTGCAGCATCATATCTCCCCACCAAACGCAGCGAATGATATCAAGCCTGTCTGAAACGCTTAGAATATAGTATATACTTGAATTATAAAAAAAAACATTGTTTAAAATAGCAAACGGTTGTTGATTCGGCACCACGTAATAGCGGAGGCCTATCCTTGCATAGTTTATCCTGCTCGCATGTTTGGAATATCATATCTCCCTACCAAACGCGGCGAATGACACCAAACGTGTCCAACAATTTTAGAATATAGTAGATACCTGAATAGTCAAAAGAAACAATGTTCAAAATAGCAAACGGTTGTTGATTATAATATAATATATGCTTGAGTGATCAAAACAAAGCTTGTTTAAAATATCAAACGGGCGTTGATCTGGCACCACGTAATAGCACAGGCCTATCCTTGCACAGTTATCCCTGCTCGCATGTTTGGAATATCATATCTCCCTACCAAACGCGGCGAATGATACCAAAGCTGCCCAGCACCCTTAGATTATAGAAGATGCTTGAATGCCACCGTGTCAGCCTTGTATAAAATAACAAACGGGCGTTGATTTGGCACCACAATATAGCACAGGCCTATCCTTGCATAGTTCTCCCTGCTCGCATGTTTGCAGCATCATATCTCCCCACCAAACGCAGCGAATGATATCAAGCCTGTCTGACACGCTTAGAATATAGTATATACTTGAATTATAAAAAAAAACATTGTTTAAAATAGCAAACGGTTGTTGATTCGGCACCACGTAATAGCGGAGGCCTATCCTTGCATAGTTTATACTGCTCGCATGTTTGGAATATCATATCTCCCTACCAAACGCGGCGAATGACACCAAACATGTCCAACAATCTTAGAATATAGTAGATACCTGAATAGTCAAAAGAAACAATGTTCAAAATAGCAAACGGTTGTTGATTTGGCACCACACAAAAGCACAGGCCTATCCTTGCACAGTCCTCCCTACTCGCATGTTTGAAACAGCATATCTCCCAACCAAAAGCGACGAATGACACCAAACCTGTCCGGCACGCTTAGATACATCAGATGCTTGAATGATGAAAAGAAACCTTGTTTAAAATAACAAACGGGCGTTGATTTGGCACCACGTGATAGCACACGCATGTCCTTGCACAGTTCTCCCTGTTCGCATATTAAGAACATCAGTGCGCACGATCGATACAAGACGGAGCGACATGATCGCTCCGTCACGCGCAGGACAACGCACGATCGCGTCAGCGATCGTCTTGTCCTGCACGACCGAGAAATATCTCGGTCGCAATGAGGGGCACGTGGGGCACGCGAGACTTGGGAGACTTTGCAGTTGACTAACGGAATTTTCGCGCTGACTCGGCGAGCAAGAAAATTCGCCAGAAAGTCGCGCTGCTTTGCGTCATTATTTCGACAGAGGTACAAAACGGTAAAATCCGTTTGTAACTGAAAAACGGGAATCTCACACGAGCGTTCATGATCTCACACGAGTAAACATGAATGTTCGCGAGGAGAGTCAGCAGGAGAATTTGGCAGCAGTGCAGGTTGAAGACAGTTATTCTACAGCGGCAAATCAAGCCAAATTCTAAAGCAGTTTTACAACCGTTTTTCAATGACAGCAAAGCAAAGACCTGGACGACAGTTAGACAACTGGTTTGTGTGTTTTCCTTTGTGTACCTAGGACCTCTCTTACATGTGTGCTTGTATTTGCTTTTATCCACAATGCTTTTATGATTTCAAGCTTACAATCTACTACTACGTATTGACAAGAGTAGATACACAACGAAGCACTGCCGAAACTCTGCTCAACCAGAACACTCACTCTACAAGCTAAGCTTGGCATGACTACTCACTTGGTTCACAAGTGATGTTAAGTGTTGCCCAGTTTATGTTTGTGGCACTGAGTTAATCGCTTCCGCATAGTACTTAGAGTTAACAAGGACAGGCCTATCATTGCACATATTCCTCTGCTCTAAGGTTTGAAACAACATATATTCATACCAGATGCTGCGAGTAGCATCAAACTTGTCGAGCATGCTTGTAATATAGTAAAGACTTGAATCAGTATGAGCTATCCTTTAGATAATGACTGAAAGACGTCGATACGACACAACGTGTCATACATGCTTTTCATTTTGCGTTTTCCACTGCTAGCGCATTCTAAACAATATTACTACCATGCTTACGACTCATGAAATATATTGAATGCGTTCATTATTCAGCACATTACAGCATCGTGAAAGGCTTCACGAAGGTGTACAACGTCGAAATGCACCGCTGCCAGCTCGTTGACTTGCAGAGTTGGCAAGTCGCCTCCGAGCTGCGTTGGCAGACCGTCGACTAGATGTGCTTGCAAATCACCCCATTGATGCGCTGAAGGTCGACCTGCCTCTTAGCTAGGCTGCTAGCTCTCAAATGTATTCCCATTTTACTAGTGAGGACCATGACAGATTGCACCTTAAACACGCAAGTGGTGAGAGCCACAATGATCGAAATTATCCGTGCCTCCACCTGTAGTTCAGCTCCCACCGTTGTAGAATGACCC